TTGATTATTCCAAGTCACACAATCTTAACTTGAACAGCAATAAATGTATTTGTATGCTTTTTCATCCTACTCGACAAGAAATAAATTTAGAAGATATAAAAATTAAAAATGAATCTATATCAATTGTAAAATATCTAAAAATTTAGGAATTATATTCTGAGATTCAAAGAACATGTTACATTACTAATTAAAAAATCTTACTTAGTTCTTAGATTGCTCTAAACCGTCATATCCTTAGTTTTTCTTTGCGCAAACTGTTATGTGAATCATTAGTCCTATCAACTTTAATAATAATAATGTTTATTTACTGAAATATACATTTAAAAAATACATTCATAAAAACGACAAGAAATAATAAATAAATGCATGACTTAACTCTTTAGTATTCTTGTTTGGACCAATGGCTAAATATGAATTGCAAAAGCTTAAAAAAAATGCATGTTGTAAATTTTTTTACTTTACGAGTTTACCCACCAATTTAGCGTCTCTCGAATTTAAGATAAATTGGGTAGGATTGAAATTGGCCTATAGTTTTCGGCAAATCTATTGTCTCTTTCTTAAATATAGGCATTGTAAACGCCAAATCTAAAGAACCAGCGCAAATGCTCAAGTTCGTTTACTTAAAAATCGACACGCCCATTCACAAATTTGAACCTTGTCCTTGCTTAAGGTCAGTAGCGTAACGACTAGATCATTGTTTGTTTCTTGCTTCTGTGTTTTGGTTAAAGTGAATGGTTTTATTTTTGATAATGTCTTCTATTGTAGGTGAAAAAAAGCGCAGATTTGTTATTAACGGACAAAGTCGTGAAGTAATATACAATGTTTTTTAATATTTTGACGCAACAAAAAAGGAAGGAGTTACTTTAGATGATATCAAACTGCACAAGCAACAGGTAAACATGCTCTGTAGTTTATTTGCAATTAAACTTGCGTAGTTTTCCATATTTTTTTGTATTTTACACACATATCTATGCATTTTATTTTTGATTAATATTTTATATTTAAATTTCTAAAATGTATCTTCTGTTTCTAAAAAATTTTGTTTCCTAATAAATGTAAAAAAAATACTAAATTTAACATTAATATAATATTGCGTTTTTACAGGTGTTTCTTATACTACCGTTAAAAGAATTTTGAAGGAAGGTAAACAGTCAATGGAAACAACTGGAAAAATTACATTTTCCACACCTAGGAAAATCTTCGTCAAAAAATCAACCGCTACGAATCTCCCTGAATATCAATTGAGGGACATTCGAAGAATAATTTACAATTTTCAAATAGCAGAAAAGTCTTGTGTTACTGTTAAAAGGTTAAATAATAAAATTAAGGAAGATTTAGATATCCATATATCAGAAACTTCATTAAGAAGAGTCCTTAAAAAATTACAATTTAAATGGAGAAAAACACAAAATAATCGTAAAGTTTTGGCGGAAAAAATGAAAATAAGAACTTTAAGAGTAAAATATTTAAGACAGATAAAATATTTAAGACATAAAATATTTTAGAAGTCAAAATAGACCAATCACTTATTTAGATGAAACATATATACACAGCGGACAGACGATTTAACAAAAGGTTTGTTTTCTGTTATTTCTAAAAGCCAAAGGCTTATTATAGTTCACGGTGGGGAGAAATGGGTTTTATCAAAAATAGTTTGTTGATATTCAAATCAGGGACCAAGTCTGGAGATTATCATTCCGAAATGAATTCGGAAAATTACGGCAAATGGTTAAGAGAGAAGTTAATACCTAATCTTCCACCTAATTCAGTAATTGTTTGTGATAATGCTAGTTATCACAATGTACAGACAAATCGAGCACCTAATTTCAATTCCTTGAAGAATGATATGATCGAAAGGTTGACAAAATACAACATACCTTTTAATCTAAAAAGTTTGAAACCAGAGTTATATGAACTTATTAAATCTCATAAGGACCGACATGTAACATATGCATTTGATGAGTTGTGTCGAGAATACGGCCACACCGCTTTACGGTTAGCCCCATATCACCCCGACTTGAACCCTATCGAACTGATTTGGGCAACTGTTAAGAATAATGTCAGTCAAAGGAATGTTACCTTACTTATATAACTTACTGTTATATAATATAAAATTAAACATGTTAAAAAATCGGATGGATATATTACTTCATACACATATTATTTCATATTTTGTTTATAAAAATCAGTTAAAATACAAAATACTAGACCACCAGAGCTCTCCTTAAGGCTGTTTTCGCGATACACTATTTTAGCTCTTACCTCATATCTTGCTTATTTATGATCGGAACCATTTCATTTTTTAATGAGGTATTCAGAAGGAAAACCCTAACAATCTGTAGGTTTTAAATATTTTTATTACAGCCTGATTTTTTAAATAAAAAATTGGAACTAAAATAAAATTTTGTCAATTTGCAAATATCAATTTCAATTTCATATAAAGTTAACTACAATGCTTTATCAGGAGTGGTAAGTATTTAATACCATTTCATTTTAATTTCTTGATAGTTTCGGCATTTACTTGATGAAAATCCATATTATTAAAATGAGAAAAACCAAACATGGTAGATGTTCACACTTTTATTTAAAGAAATAAAAATTAAAAATTGCACGACAATTGTTTCTAAGTACAACTTCTTCAAATGTGACTCATTTACGTTTCTAATATATATACAAAATAAACTAATTAGTTAAAGTAGGTACTTAAGAGAAATATATTAATAAAATTCCGATAAGATATCTTTACCGGGATTATATCACAGAAAACTAAGAACAGGTAAAGAGATTTAATTAAGCTCAGTTATTAATATCTAATTGATCACTTAAGAGGATATTTGAATTTTTAAATCTATTTATTTCAATAAGGATAATTTCCTGACCGTAAGAGAATTTTATATAAATACCGAACGGAAAGCGGTAGTACAGATCAGTGGGTAGAACAGCCTTAACCTAAAGTCGGCTTACTTAAAAATAATGATTTTTTAATTGAATATAGAATTATGTACTAATAATAACACTAAGCAATATGTATGAACAAGTATCATTCACTATTTTCCATTTATTTTATGTCCTAAAATATACGCGCCCCTGGTTTACAACTTTCTAGGTAAGCTACCAATGCTATTCATCAGTAGGCGTGTTCGTCGCATTATAAATGCGCGTCCTTGGTTCTTTAGATTTGGCGTTTACTGTAGTACTTTGGCAATTTTAAAAATATCAGGAAAAACGCCTTCTGTGAGACATGCATTATATATCTTTATGAGATCAATATAAATGTCAATCGTTTCGACAATAATTTTCTTGTTCATGCCAAACAAAATTGAGTTTTTTAAGTTGTGTAAAGTGTTTTTAATCGCTATTTTTGTCACTGGTCATGTTAAAAGAATCTGGTCTGATAGAGAATGATTTTGTAGTGCCATTTGCATTTTTATTCCTGTGAAAATTGATGATTTTCAGCTCTAGGCAAATTATTAGAATATAAGAGATATTATATTTATTAAACATGTTTTGCTGATTTTTTTTTTAATTCGTTATAAGGATTTATATCTGTTGGACAATAAACGCTATTGTTATTATAGACTTTAAAATCCCTTGTAACATCAGCTGTTGTTTTTAAGCATCAACAAGGCGTCCTTAAGTCCGTTCAGGTTTACAAAAAAATTGCTGCCGACTTTTCATGATATTACCGACTGGTGTTTTAACAACTATTTCTGTGAATTTCCTTAGCAAACAATTGATTGATATACTTTCGTGACGTCACAATTTGAAGGTTACAGCTTAATAATTGAGAAAATTCACTCTATATAAGGTTTTAAAATCTCACCTTCATTTCTTGTCCAATGGCTTCAACGGTAGATTCCAAAGCCCTAGTACCCCTAGTATGTTCGTCTTCTACTGCTTTCACAGTTTTAAGAAGTGATGTTACATTTGTGACCATTACCTGTAAGAAATTCAAGAATTTATATTTATAATAAGTACATTTATTTACTAACACACATGCTTTTAGATAGACACAAAACTTCTCGAAGCTGAAAGATTCAAATTGTGTTAGGTATGGTATAGAGCAATCCAAAGAAACTGCAGCGTCAGAAGAAACTATGCGAAAAACAGACCAAACATAAAATACGTACCAAAGAAATATTTTGAAGGAAATATTCTTGGATCTTTTTAATAAGAACTACTTTAAATGCACACAGTTTATTGATAAATATTTAGGAAAATAAATAATTTTATGATTGAACAGGGATAGCAAAATATAAAAGTAAGAAAACAAACCTATTATAAAGAAATTACTTGATAAAATATTAGTCGGAATACTCGTACTTCAACCACTAGAGTGTTATACTCTATAAAAATTGTGGACTAATAATGTATAAAAATTTAATTACTCACTCAATTAGGAAAAAAATTGTATATATTAAATAAAATCAAAATAGTGTAAGCTTATTTTCTTTTAGATTTTTGAAGCAAGTGTAGCAATCTTTTGAATGGTTTAATTTTATGAAGTTGAAAAAAATATAATTGTACTATTAAATTCAAACAATAAACTTCAATTTAGAATTATTGAGTAAGTAGATTTTACCTGCTAATAATGACATTATTATTGTAAAAATTCAGAAGTTAAATATCACATTCAAAATTAGTACATGTTCCGAATATGCACATACAGAGAGATAATTTTTTCTATTTCTAATACCTCACTGAAATCGATTTCTATAAATCGGAACTGCCTGAAGAAGTAAATATAAGCTACTTTTTTAATGTTATTGTACCCCTAATAAGTATTTTATGTTTTTAAGGTATTGTCTATTATATGTAACATATTGTCTTATTTTTATTTTTAAAATTTTAATGTAGGTATTTTATTGGGTTTTGATACATTCGGTATAAAGTAATTACTGAATTTGAAAAATGTATACTTTCTCTATAAGGTAAATAAGTATGTATACTGTATAGAGTAGGTAACCGCTTTGAACATAGTCATCCTTTTACATTTTCTATCTAACCAGAAATGTTACCGAACCCTCTGATGTTCCAATCAGAAGTAAAAATTTAAAGCACTGGTTTAGATGTCACCGAATTGTTTGTTTTTTCAAATGTTCCACACATTTTACCGACCCGCAGATGACCGAATCGTATGAACGTACTAATTTAAATGTATACAAGGTGACGTTTTAAAAAATACAATGAAATTAAAGATTATATCAGAAAATGATTAAATTCATTTCTAAGATACAAAGTTAAATGACAAAATACAGAACGCATTCCCATCAACCCCTTATGCACCATCTACCTCAAAAAAATTAAAATAGCAACCCCCTACTTGTCATGCAGATATAAGTGGTACATGGTTGTTAAATAGTACATATTTATAAATCTATATAAAAAGTAGATAGCATGTTTATCTAAATTAAATATTTCTAATGCAATGTCACTATTAGAAATAAACCTCTATATTTAGTTAATCTAAATCCAAAGTTTCAGGGCGATAAGTCGAGTGTTGTCGAATTATCAAAGTTATTCGAACTATGGAATTAATTGAGAAAATTTTTGCACAAACTTTCGAAGAAAATTATCGCAACAAAAATGCCTTGCCGAGTTTGGTTGTTTTCGGCAATTTTCGTTGATTTAGAGAATTCAAACATACTGGATGAGTCTTAACGACGATCCAAGGACAGGTACACCAAAAACGACAGTCCCCCAGGAAAACGTCGATCCTGTAGGCAAGCTCATCAAGGAAGATCAGCATGTGACGTATCGACATATTGAGGCACCATTGGGAATTTCAAAGACCTCAATTTAAAAAAATTCCATGAGGAATTGTGTGTAAAAAAAGTTTTCTGTTGACTGAAGAACACAAAAAAAGCCAAGGTCGATAATAGATAATAATAGTTCCAAGGTGAACATAACAGTCATCTATTCTTGAAGTGAGACCAAAAAGCAGGTCATATAGCAATAAACCCTCTAGACCAGCCATACTCAACCTGCGGCCCTCCAAGCTGTTTTGTGCGGCCCTCCAAGCTTTTTTGTGCAGCTACAAACACTATTATTAGGAATTGAAATGGTTGACATGAAGTCTTTTTTTAAAACAAATTGTTCTCGCGACTTTTCAAAGCTTATTAAAACAACATGAGGACCTTTTTTGTTTTTTTTTTTTTTTTTTGAAACTATGTATTCGAAAGTATGTTAACTAAAACAATATGAAGACTTTTTTTTAGAAAATATTTCAAATGGATCACTATTCCTTTCGTCACCCAATTTGTATTTATATTTCAAAAAGGTCTCTACTAATCACCCAAAAATATTGAGGCCCGTGTAGCATAACAAACAGATTTATGTGACCCGATAGAAAAAAAGGTTGAATACAACTACAGAATATGCCTGCACAACTCAGATTTTCAAAGGGCCAGATTTGAAGAACTGTAACTGTACGAGGGCCGCCAAGAGAGGCCTGAGCCTACAAGAGTCGGTTCAAATTTCTAAAAGAAAAAAGGTCAACACCTGTCATTTATAAGCCTACTGCTGCTGGTTGAGCTTCTAAAAAAAAGGTCGTCATCTTATAATGTATAACCCATCCTACTGATCGAGTTTTCTACAAAAAAAGGTCGTCAGTCTAATTGCAAGTTTGTTACTGAAAAATGTATGATTTGACGTAGGCGGGCCAAACTGGTCAAAAGCCAACGGGCAGCCAAAACTACACTGACGGGCCGCATTCGTCCCGCGGGCCGTATGTTGTGCACCCCTGCTCTAGACCAAAGAATAATTGTTTACTGGCGTTTGCTGAAAAAAATGGTTGATCTTCGAAAAACCAACCCCCAAATGACAAATCATCCTCCACCAAGACAATGTAAGTTCCCATACAGCTCACAAGACAATTCAAATTTTTAGAGCAAGAAAAAAAGTCCAGACTTAGTCTTGTCTTTCTGAAAATCAAGAATGCACTGTGTGGTCACAGGTTCCAGTCGCCATAAGAAGCAGTCAATGCCTTTACTAACGCAATTTTGATTGTACCAACAAAGCTTCCAGAGTTGGTTCAAGCAAATGCAAAAGTACATTAACCTTCGAAGGGAATATTTCGAAAAACAATAAAGTCAGCAAAATCTATTTACTGTTTTATTCCAGCTCTATAATATGCAAAATTAAAAAGACAACCCTCGAATAATCATTGTAAGTTTTTAAATGGTCATTTCATATGTTATGGTTGGAAAAATAATAATTCAGTGAGTGATAACGATCCCAAATAAAGTGATGTATGTGCCATTATGCTGCAGTTAAGGCCTGGCGAATATTTTTATATTTAATTTTTAGATTTTTAGGCAATGTGAAATTGATAAAAAATTATGTCACAAAAATGGCTTTACTTAAAAAACACTAAATTCAAAAAAATGTGGTGACAAAAGTATTCCGATTAATTTATCATTTCAAAAATGCTTTGAAGCATCACACAAAGACTAGAGATTCTCAAGAAATAAAAGCTACAAAAGAGCAACTTAAGAAGAAGCTGTAACTAGACACTGAACGATATCAGATTGTAAATCGGAGTTAACGTTTTCCTTGCTGTCGCTCAATAGTTTCAACAATTCTTCTTCTTGGTCAGAAATCCACCACTCCGTTTCAGAATCCGTCACCTATGGGCCAATCAAAACATGTTTTCAGTAAGAATACACCACCACGCATGTGCAAGTTTTTCAGATTTTTCGTAAAAAAAAAAATGAAAAATATATTTGAAAAACCTGAAAAACCGATGGTATACAATAAAATTTTGACTAGGTGGACTTTAAACAATTTGAAATATTTAAATAATTACATGTTTTGAGTAGCTCGTTTCATTAAAAAGAAAAAAAAATGGCGCTGTTAAAAACAAATAGCATGAGCGTTATATTAATTAATAATATTAATTGATGAATTTTTTAATTAATTTAATTATTTATTTAAAGTCCACTTGTGAAATACTGCAACAATTAGCACAACGCACATGCATTAATAATGGTTAGTACCTACCTAATCAAATTTTTAAAAATTGTTTTAAAGCTATCAAATTATGTTTTGTAAAATATTAATATAAAACAAAGTGACCAAACCCAGATGAGTTATAACACAAACCTCAAACATCCAGTGAAGCTCTAAAATTTCGTAATAATGAGTATCATAATTAAAAAGTAAATGAAAATAGTTTCGGATACCCTTTAAGCAAGGCAAGAAAGTAATCAAAATAAAATTGTGCCAATTTGAGGAATGAGTTATATTAGTTATTAGAAACTGCCCCAAGAAAAATTAGTAAAACTTTAAAGAAGCGGGTGTACTAAAAAAGGTTTTTAAAATAATAAAAAAATATTTTTTTAAAATTGTCAAACCTGATTTTCTACCCATCCTAAATGAATCGTCAAAGGATCACTTAAAACTCTATTAAATTAATATCAACACACTTCAAAATACGCTTTTATTAAAAAAGTATTTAGTATAAAATAAAAAAGAAAACAAAAAATAAAAAAAAAAACAAGCATTTTATCTTAAATGAATTCTTCAGTATTGCCGTACCTTAGCACTGTCTTTTAAGTGAGCCATAGCTGGATCATTGATTGGTTTTCCACTTGCAGCTTTTGTTGCTTGAATAAGATCTCCTAAAGCACTAGCCACATCTCTCACTGCATTTATTAACATGACTTGGGAGTCTGGATTGTCAGCGCCCAAGCTGGCAGCTCCGAATTTTACCACTTCAGCAAGTTGCACTAAAGAAACATTATTTGTATACTATATATCGTAATGTTAAAATAAAAATCACTTACCAATGGTTGCGACTGAATTTTGCGCTGCAACCGCCAATTGTTCTTGAGAAGAAGCAGCGCCAGCCACTAACGTTTTTGTATCTTCAACTAATGCCTTAGCAGTCTTCAAAATATTCTCTCTATGGTTTGCAAATGATTCGTGTTCATTTTCGGGATTAAGATTACCGGCAGTGGCAAACATAATTGTCGTTTCTAGATCTCCAATAATTCCAGATACAGTAGAGGCAGCATTAATACATGCCTGTGTACCCCTCGACTCGTTTTGGAGGGTGGCAAGAACTCGGGACACTTTTTCTGTTACATTTCTTGAGCATTCTCCAACTTCACGAAGGATTATGTCATCTTTTCGCACCAAACATTGACCTCCGGCTTGAACTAATTCAACACAGGCACCTCCTAGTTGTTGTACCACTTCCTAAAAATAGGAACTCAGTTTGAAATTCATTTAAATTTTAAACAAATTAAAAATTGATTTTTACCTTCAGCCTGAGTGCAACCTCGGAATTGGTAGCAGCTGCTGCAGCCCCAATACTATCACTAGCCAACTGGCTGTACCTATGCGACAGATCTGCAGACAGTTGTGCTACCTTTTGAGTATCAGTGGCAGCCTTGGAGGCGATTTCACCAGCAATTTTAGCTATGCTTTTAGCACAGTCTACCATTCGAGTTTGATAATCTACAAATCCTATATCGCCATCTGAAATTATTAGTGAAGCGCGATTGTCAGACAAACGAGTCATAGCTCTGGTAAGGTTATCAACTACTCCAGAAACAATTCCACTTTGTGCTGATATCGCTTCAAGACTAGTTATGAGATCTTGGAGATTATCTCTCATAGAATTTGCACATTCGTCTATATCTGGATGTACATTTACAGCCTTAAAAAGATAACAATTACTTAATTGATTAATTAATTTTATTGTTTTACCTTGGGGTTGCCACCACAATCTTTGGTTGTATAAATAAACTGTAAAGCAGACTCGGTTACTGACTTAGCTTGATCCAAGATTTGTTCTTGTTGTTTTGAGTTTGTCAAATTAGATGCAGCTCCGACAGTACTTTCCACCAATGGTTCAAAGTATTGTATTAACTGGTTTACAGCATGTCCTACAACAACAAAAATATTTCAAAATGTAATTATAAAAAGCTAGAAGAAAAATATAGAAATATTTTTTAAGCAAGTCTATTATGCTGACCTATACTCTCAGCTTCGTATTTGGCAGCATGCCTTAAGGGTTCCATCACATCAAATAGTCCCGCAGCTGATCTTTCTACTTGTTGACTATATGCTGGCAGAGTAGCAGATCTTCTGGGTACTAAAGACTGTGAAACGGCATCCATATAAGCGGCATCCAAAGTTTTGAGATGGTTTGTCAAAATTTGTGCGCCAGTTTCACATTCATTCTTTCCAGGAGCTTCATTTCTGAAATGAATGAAAAATAAAAATCGTATTTTAATCCTGCCATTTTATTTTAATATATTTAGAGTTAAATATAAAAACATCTTACCTTATACTAACTACAAGTTGTTTTATCGAATCTGAAACGTTTTTGGAACTGCCAGCAAACTGCTGCCATGTCGAAGGATCTTTGGGCATTATAATCAGATTCTTTGTAGCACTAATGACAGAAGACGAGCTGTCAATAAGTTTACGACCAGCTTCAACGATTGGTTGTTGTGCATGACGAGCTTGGGGTGGTATTTTTGCAGGTAAAGTAGCAAATTCACTGGAACTGGCATAGATACAAAGATTCTCGACAGCCTCTAAAAGTGGTCTAGTAGCTTCTGAACAACTAATCCTGTTTTCCTCCGAATAATTAGCATCTAAAGCTTTAATTTCTTTGACTAGAGCAGCAGTACTATTTGCTACAGCTTTAGCACTTTGTACGAACTGTCTTTTGGCTACTGGGTTTGTAGTTTTTGAACTAGCTATTCTGCAAGAATTACATAATGCACTGGTATGTTTGGCAATAAGTGTTGCTGCTTCCAAAACTTGTTTCTGAGGGCTTGTCGGTGAAGATAGGGCTGCGCATCCTTGTTGGATGGCCTGAGAAGCCCTAGCGAATTGAGCCTGGTCTACTAAACCCGGCCTTCCTGCTATACTTGAAGGATCTGAGACTCCAATCTTAAATAAAATAATAAAAAAATACAAATTTGCACTTTATTTTCGGACAATAAAACAATAACTATAGAAGGTAAATTTAAACTTATCAACAAAAAAGATAATTTCTTACCAAATATGCAGCTTGAGCAGATGTTTCAATCATTGAACAGATAGCATTGCTGAAACTTTTGACATGCTCGGTAAACCTCTCATGTTCCGAAGCTTTTGCACTTGCTGTAATACCCGATAAACCTTCTCCCAAAATTTTACTTTTCTCTATGACTGTATCAAGTGTCTCATAATATGAAGAATCGTTAATTGGTTCTGTGGGATTGTCGAGCAAGTAGCGCATTGCTTTAATTTGTCTTATAGCATTGTCACATTCATTTTGACCAGGAGCAGCAGAAGTGCAGACATTAACTAAGTGGTTAATACTGTCTGTTACAGCACGAGCTGCAGCAGCTAGTTGGTTTTTACCGTTTGGAAGATTTGGATCGGCGGAAAGTGCTTTTGCTGTTGTAAGCAAAGTGCTTGAAGTCATAGATACAGTCTTTAGCGAATGAACCATCTCGCCTGAAAATAATCATTTTTAAACAAATTTAAATTAAGAAAAACAGTAACTTACCTCTTACTGATGCATCAACTGTTTGTCCAGCCATTTCCACAGTAACATTTAACAGATCACGATAAGCGGATGCAAAATCTTTAGAAGTTGAGGCTAACTGAACAGGACTGTGTACTGATTGCAATACACTCGAACTGGCTTCATTTAAGTTAGCAGCAGCAGTATTTAATTCTTGTTGAAGCTCTCCATAGCTCTTGTTTGTTGGTGGGAAACTGGTTGTATTTATTGAAGAAGACCATTCTAAAGAAATGTAAATATTTAATATACAATACACCGATTGAAAAACATTTGATCGAATTGGAAATTTGATCGATAATACATTTTATTGAATGACATTTGATCAAAAATATATTTTAACGAATAACGTTTTATCGAAAAGATAATAGATCTAAAATTCAATAAATTGAAAGGACAAGATATTTAAAATCAACATTAAAAATGGTAAAGTATAAAAAAAATCAAACTTTATCTAATTCCTATTACTGGGAACTAAACTCAGCTGCTATCGTCAAATTGCAAATTTTTCGATAATCTCAAATGATAGCTGCTCCATTTAATAGATGTTATCCTTACAACAATGGTAATTTACAAATTAATATTTTCAGAGCTAAACAATTAATTATCGTCATTGAAATTAAAGCATTGTGATTAATTCGCATAAAATATGTGTTTCAGTAAAGTTGAATTTTCTCCCGAATGGAACATTTTTGGTAAATTATTTAAAGAGGAACATAATACCTTATTCTCGAAAAAACCAGAAAAGCTTAAAATAGGATAAATTGATCGTTTTAATTTATAGTGATTGGACGTGTACATTCGTTAAAAAGACCAAATTTCAAAATTGGCCGAAAATGTATATAAGGTGGCTCATATTGCGGACGTAAAATTAAATATTTATTAAAATATTCCTTCAACTAGTCAAATAGAAATTAAGAGTGAGGGTTGGGGGCATGGGTTTTGAAAAATAAATATTTTTAATACGATTTGCATGCTCTTATTTTACCAAAATTAAAATACAGATAAGTAAATCGTTTAACATGGTATTAAAAATAAAGTGTTTTCAAAACCCACGCTCCCAGCTCTCACTAATAAAAAGTTTAACGCACTTGCTGAATTTCACCTCTTAATTTTTATTTGACTAGTTGTAGGATTTTTTTTTTAAATATTTAATTTCACGCCCTTATATGAGCCATATATTTTCGGCCAATGTTCAAATTTGGTAAGACTATTTTCGACTGAATGTGTACGCCCAATCACTGTAAATTAAAACGTTCAATTTATCCTAATTTAATACTTTCTTTACCTAACCTGTGCGGTTTGGAACTGTCGAGTTGCTACGCAAAAAAATAAACAAAAATGAGAAAAAATAAAAAACTTAACTAATTTACCTAACCTGCGTGGACTGGAGTCATTTAAATTTAACTGATTGCTCTCGTTTTCCAATAAAATGTTTTTTTAATCAAATGCATTTGATCGAATGTTTTCGAGATCAATTTTAAATGCTATAAGTACTCAAATGAAATTAAGTGTTAATATATTCCAAATACATAAAAAAATTACCTATAATGCTGGTTATTGAATTATCGACATCCTTTTGGCCAGGTAAACAACCCACTGTTGAATTCAAAGCTTGAGAAACATCTTTGGCGGCTTTCTGTAATCCAGGTGTCACGCCTACAGTTGACAAGCTTCTGTTAGCTTCAGTGACGAGTTTTGAAGAGAGAGCAAGAACATCTTGACCCGAATGTATGATTCTCCTTTGTACGTCAATGTTATCAGAAGTGGCAGCAACACAACGAACAGCATTTGTAAGATTCTTAAGACTGTGAGCTGTATCTCTAGCAGCTTGTGCGGTATACATTTCATTACCCTGTGCAGCAGCACTTAATAATTGAGCAACACCTAAAAATTTGGGATTAAGTAAAAAAGGAACTCAGTGAATTTCAAATATTCTTACCTTGGTTGACAAGTTTACTAGTGGCAGTTAGTTGTTGAGAGCCTCTTTCAAGAGTATCATGAGGTAATGGTTTTAATTTATGAGCTTCAACAGCTCTTTCAAATTCATTCAATTCCTCTTGTAAATCAGCTATTAATTGTTGTGCCGCATCTATTCCTAACCCTTGACAAGCCGGCTTGGCTCTGCTGATGGCACTATGAAGTTCACTCAATTCAGAATTGAATTTCTGAGTTGTGCTTGACAATTGTTCACGAACTGTATGCTCAGTCAAAGTGGGTAAAGCAGATCTGAAAAAGTAAACAGCTTTAACAACAAACTTTTGGACTTTAAATTATTTATAACAAATAAAAACAGGAACTTACTGCGAAGACTGAATAAATTGTTGTGCAGGATGTAAAAACACTTCAGCAATGTACATTAACTCCACCTGACTAGTAGTTTCTTCTGGACTTTGAGCATTAGCTTTGATAGATTCAATCAATAAAGGAATAGTTTCTGCCAATTCCATAGTGTCTTGGCTTAGAGTTTCTCTTGTTACTGCGTTTGTATTATAAGGATGACTATTCTGGGCGGCCGGGATACACTGAGTGGCTGATGAAACTGCTTTCCTGGCACATATTTGTACCCTATCAACCAATTTTGCTCGAAGTGCTGGGGTAGTTGCAGCTACTACAGTAACGTCTCTGAGAACTTCAGCTGTTTTTCTCAGTTGATCCTGGTAAACTACTTCATGAGGATGGCTGGCGCATTGACGTGCCGCTTCTACCATTCTTGCTGTTGCATCGGCGAGTGTTTTCGCGGCGGATAATAAGCGACGTTGGATATCTGAGTCTGGAAGTTTCTCGGCTTCACCTAAATAAATAAATAAATAAATCAGAGAAATTAAGACTAATTTTTGATTTATTTTCGATAGCACTACATATATTTTGGTAAAAACATTCCATCTTCTGGTGCAGTCTCTTTCATTTTTTTATGACTGGCCTACAATGAAAAGGTGTGGAATACTTAGAGCTTTGAAGGTCTTAAATATAAATATATAGTTGACTATTCTTCATTTATGATTGTTTTTCTCCTTTTTCACGTCCTATATTTAGATTTTTCATATTTTTCTTCATTGACTCTTTTATTAAGTTGATTAATACTTTGAACACATGCATCTTCGCTATGAAAAACAAAAAATAGTTTTCGCCCATAAAATGTTTGTTATATCCTCAATGTTTTTCCGAAAAATATATAGTGTGATCTAAATAAAAATACACTTTGACCAATATATGAAAAGTTGTTTCATTTGTTTATGAATAATTCATATTGTATAACAAATTTACAAAACTTATGATATTACCTTTAATGCTTTGGATGAGTTGAGCAGTAGCTTGACCCAGTCGTCTTGCTTGACGTACCATTTCATTAGGATCTCCAGAGGCTGCTGATAATTTATCAGTGGCAGTGTAAATTTCTTCAACGCTGTGTTCCTGTACAGTTTCTCTAGCACGTTCTCGAGATGCTAAAATGTAATTATCATTATAATTATATCCAACTACTATTTAAAAGAACTTACCAACTTTTACGTGATTGAGTAGGTCATTTAAGGTGCGTGTTACTTCTGCAGCTGCAGCCTTGAGTTGTGTATTTAATTCCTCATTTGGAGAAGCTTCATTGCATATAGCCACTAGGTTTTCTACTGCCTTCGCTACCTAACATTTAAAATATTTTTTTTTTTGTAAATTTTAAATATATTAAAAAAAAATGTATTGATCTAAAAACGTACCTCTCTAACAGCAGTTGTTAATTGTTCTTGACAAGCCGGTGAATAAATAGTGGGAGCCACAACTTTGGCACATGCTACTAATTGAGAAGTTGCCAAAGCACATTGTGTAGCAGCACCAATAACCCTGTTTTGAGTCTGCTGATCATCGCAAGAAGAAGCAATATTTTTAGCTTTGATTACAAGAGCTGCTGTAGTATTGGCTACAGCTTTAGCCAGAGACAAAAGCATATCTTGCAGTTCTTTATTTTCGGCAGTGTCTTCACCAATTGTAGCAAGGACTTGAGTACTTGCTTCTCCCACTCTAGATGCAGCATTGAGTAGATTCTGTCGTGGCTGTCAAAATAAATTGATTGTGTTTTTAAATGAAATATATTTAAATGAACGTGTTTTCCTTACCTCTTTGGATTCCGGTTCGGCAGCTTTAAGTAGATCACTAAACGCATTGCAAAGTTTTCTAGTAGCATCTAATAGTTTTTCGCCCATGTTTCCATCGTCCATAAGAGCAGCTATCATTTTAACATCTTTAGTCATTTCTGGTAAATTACTTCCAATTGTAGTAATTGCTGCTCCGACAGCGGTGTGATCAACCTAAAATTGTTACAATGGTTTGTCAAGTTATTCAGCATTCATCTTTTGGTAAACACAAACTGAAAATTAAATAAAAAATAGTATAGTATTTACCTCATCCTGAGGACCAGAGGTAAGCGTTACCACTTGAGCCGTGGCAGCACTCATGGCAGCGATTTGTGATCCTACATTTTGTTTTCTTGTATCTAAAGTGACTTGCTTCCATTTTTTGGCGGATGGATCAGTACCCAATTCAGGAATATGGGCTTTTCCTTCAAGTTCGATTTCTGATTCTTTGATTCTCGTTTGCGTAGCAGATATTGTAGAAATGAGGGCTCGTTGTGGTTCTGATAAAACCGTTGTTATTTTTGTTTGTTGTAAAGTTGTTGTCTAAAACAGTAATAATGTTCTAGAATATATGCATTGATCCAAAATTATTAGAGAAAATAAGGCTTTAAATGATTAAGGGGTGTTTATGGAAATTTCTATAGGAGTAGGAACCTAGTTCTACTATGTACAGATACACTATTAATTCAAATTCAAAAGATTAAAATTCAATGATCTTTATCACATTAGTTAAACGATGAATAATATCACATCAAATATATTTAATGTAGGTGCGCATTTTTTAGAACAATATTTAATAGTTATAGAAAAAAGAAAAATTAGTTCAATTGTGAAGTATTGTGCAAAAAAAGAATAAAGCATTAAAAATGTGCTCTTTTTTATATTACTCCTAAAATATGGAATTCTTAAAACCTGTGTATTTATAATTAATAAAGAATTTTTAATTAATAAAAAAATTATACAAAGGCAATTTTAAATAAAACCTATCTGAAAGAAATATCCAGTAGGATATTACAAAAGAGTGACTTTTTTCTGTAAGGATTTTTCTAATTATAAAAAAAAATGTTACATAAATGGTATTTGAAAAATAAATATGAAAACAAATATTTTTTCTAATTTTAACTTTGAACATTATGAAACTGGTTTCGCAAAATTCATTATGTCACCAGTTGCGAAAATAAAACAAATAAAAATAACCTTTTTTGGTTTTAAAATCAATAATATATTATTACTGAAAGTTTATACCAAAGAAGGGCAGGTTAAACTTACAACCTAGTAATAATGTTGTTTTGGTCCTTATTTTTCATTCTAAATTAGCACAAAATAATTAAAATACAATACACGACAAAATAGCTCACTTTCTTGAAATCCAAATAACTTTAACAAACAATATAAACACACTACACTACAACAAGTCGTTGAGAATAAATGAATTTGATTTTCTATTTGTCAATAAAAGAATGAAGTTAATCATATGCAACTAACAATACGAGAAAGTAGTGATATTGGTTGCCTAGATGCCAATAATCTAGTCAAAATTAGAAAAAATATTACACATAACTCGTTACGATAAATGCCTTATTTTATGTAACGACTGAATATTTGCGGGACGAGCAGAGCGTGGTCCTTCAACATGAACGACTTTCATAAATGTATTTAGAATTAAATATAAAATTTAAGCACCACTTTGTAACTATATGTTTCAGCCCCATTCTTACTGCACATCAATTCAACACATACCAAATTACATGCATAATTTTTCATTAACTGAAGCACCTCTACTACACATATATTTTCATTACTTTAAGTTATAGTTTTTAAAATTATAAAAAAAAACTTTGACATTAGAATACTTCATGATATATTACTAGAATCAACATTGAATAAACGTTTTTGTTACTCACAATCAAGCATTGCTATTTTGACTAAGTAAATTCCCAAAGTATAGTACAAATATATAAAAAAAAACATGTTTATTAAATTCTTTATAAAGAACGTATTTGTAATTAACATAATTGAATACCGCAACCTGCAATTAGTATTGAATATATTTCACACGATTAGAGATATTGGACGATACTTAAAATGTATGTAACTACAACTTGCTTGAAAATAAGATACGAAATATTTAAAATATACAGGATGTTTAAAAAAATCGAAATCATCAATATTACAGAAAATATTAAAAACATAGTCGATACAAATAACATTGTAAGTAATTATAATTTCAAAAATACAGGGTGTTGTTTATAATATTACTGTATCACAAATGTGGCACTAAAGGGGCAGCATTAATATTTTTTACTGTTAAAGTTATTTTTATAAAAAAAGGTTCACTATTTTAGATTTTTAATTAATTTATTATTTTTTAGGATATTATTATTTAATGAATGTGAAATGTGATATTTATTCTCTATTATTGTATCATGCTTTAATGGGCTCTGATTGGAAAATAAATAAATAATTACAACAATTAAATTAAAAATCATTAAACTGAAGTTATAATTCACTTACTGCTTGTGACAAATTATTGTCATATCGAAGAAAACCGGTCTATTAAAAGGTGGCATGCACATAAGAATTATTATTCTTACTATAGTAGTGATTCACAGTATTATTTCTTTTTTCAATTACCTTTTTGCGCGGTAATTTTATTAGATTTTTTATTGTAAAAAATATCAACAACTTCAAAAACTCCAAATCACCTGTAGTAAGAATGAATTTCTATTAAATAATATTACAGAAAGTGTGGCATTATTATATACAGGAAAAAATGTTATCTGTACCTACTCTGGTTCCTGTCCAAGACAAGAAAGACATGAAAAGAGGAGGAAATAGATTAGTTAAAGTTAGTAAATATTTTATACACTGTTAGCTTTTTTAATAAAAAAATAAAATAGAATCTTACCGTTGGTGGGGCATGACCAACATTTACGGATCCACTCACTGTGGTTTGCAATGGCCCACTCATCATGCCCATTGTAAATGGTTTTTCCCCTATTTTTAAAGTAATAAAGAAAAATAGAAAAAAAAAATGAATAAGCTGTAAACTTCTCCCAATATGAATAACAGAAACAATATAGTTGGTTAAGAATGATTTATTTATGGAACTTAATGGTGAGTTACTATTTTAACATGAAATGAAGTTACTTTTTAGTCAATTTTAATACTATTTAATTAAAATTTCAATTGATTTTTTATGATTAAATGATTTCTTGACATTTTTATTTTTTTTAAGTACAGAAATAGAAACTTATAATTTTATTACCACCAAAATATAAAAAATATGTGTCAAAAACATTAAATAATAGTTCCTGTTAGTCCATAGAAAAAGATTCGTTTGATATTGAAGTTATTAAATTTGAAAAAATATGTATGTTCTTTATTTACAAGTAATAGTTTTAATATTTTAATACATGGTTGTTCACCTACTTCAGTTTAGAACTAACACCCTTATTAGGATTTTTATAACATTGATACATGTTAGTAGTGTGCTGTTTTGGTCAATGAAATAATTAAGTTTTTTTCTCCAGTTTCCAAATGTGTCTTACCTTTTTTTCTATCGAATTCAGGGTATGTTTTCTGCATTAAATTGAAATATAAGATATTTTTTTATGAAACTATTTGTTTTTGAAAACATGTAATATATACCAGTCGGTATTATCAAAATAAAATATTGGAAATACTTCCTCCTTCTGTCCTAATTTGGTTGTGTTGCAGTGAATAGTAAATGTCACAGTTGTAACTGATCAGTAGCATGCTATTGACCTGTAACTGGCAATGTGGATACCACATCCTTTCCTCTCTGGCACATGTGAACACCATTTACTATTCACGCCAATACAAGCAAAATAGGACCGAAGATTTGATCTTGACAGCACTGTACGCGCCAGTAAGAATTTTGGAAACTAGATATAATCATTTTTTAGTTTTCTCCAAATTAGTAGTTAATATTTAAAGTTAAAATTTGAAAGTCTTTGATTATTATTAGCACGTGAGTTCATTGAAGGTATTTTGCTCTTTGAATTCAAAAATCTTGAATCTGTTCGGAGTACTCCATTTATCAAAAATCACATCTCTATGCACATATAGTTGGTTTATTGTTTCTGAACGGAAATAGGTGTCCATCCCTAGATTTTCGCTTTCTATAAAACCAAAAAAGCTCTATCTCTATAATCATACAAGCAATAACAATTCACTTACCATCGGCAACTCTCATTACACCAGGTTTAGCCAACGATTCAATAGTAGTTTTACCAATTTTGCTCGATTCATGTTGCAAAATAGTAGCCCTAAAAGTAATAAGTAATTATAATCATAATAATTTTCAAAAGTTTTACCATAACTGATGGTATTTTTAAACATGAAGTCATTTCTCAATTTTATATAAGGAAAATATTTTCTTTAAATTCAGACTGATAAGTTTCTGTTTGAAACTTTTCAAAAATATGAAATTATGTTTTTCTTTGACCAAATCAATACATTTTTTATCTAATCATGTTACAGATTCAGATTAATACAAGAGAAAATAGCTTTAATATACATTTTCTCTTATTTTTAGATCAAATTGTGTTTAATAATCAAGTATTTTTTTTTATAAAAATACATTTTCTGTGAAATTGATAATACAATCGTTATAAATACTTACTTTTGTTTGGCAACATTTTCTTCAAACATAGTCGATCCTTCATCACCTTCAATTCCAAAATGATCCTTAGCTTGTTGCTTTTTCAAAATAATATCAATGTATCCAGCAATGATTTGTTGAATTTGTTCAGCTTCAGTGGTTTGTACGGAATAATATTGATCAGAATAGTCACCAAAATCTAACGTGAAAGTATTAGGACTAGCACCCCACCTTCTTACTTGAGTTAAGGGCCAGGTTTGTAAAATTTCCTTAGTCTGTTCATTTAGTCTGAGAACAGAGTCCTTTGTTACGCCCAGTAAACGTGGTACGAGCTTGTTTCTGCCTTTCATTTTTTCTTTGACAAGGAAGAATGTTACACCGTAAGTTCTGAGGGACCTGGCGTTTTTGGTGTATTTTACTTTAGCATCGAGTTCGCTAAGACCTTGGTGCTTTTTGTGCTCCGAGAAAATTTTCTTTTCAATACCCTTGATTTTCGTATACGATTGTGGTAGAAATTCTTTAAGACTATAAATAATAATAATAATAATAATACAGTTATAAATTATAATTTTAGTTATACTTTATACTTTAAGGAGGTCCTTTCGCCACCAATGTTAAATAAAAAATATTAGATTATGACTAAAATTAATTTTTTTCTAATAGTAGATGTCCTTATTTATCTAATAGTGAACTTTTAACTATACCTTACCGTGCAAATTTTTGAGAAAATTTTTTTTTTAGAAATGTGTGTGTTTGTACAGTGTCTTATGAGAAAGTAAGACTTCAACAACAATTTTCGAATTATAATTAATTTTACTAATATTTATTGATTAGATGGAGTAGAAAAAAAACTAAAAATAAGGTTTTTGAAATATTTAGGTTTTGTTTTTTACAATAAATTATATAGTAAACCGTGGAATTTATTGAGAAATTATTATTAAAAAATCACAAAAAATTTTCAACTAGGTTACTTGAAAATTTTTTGTGATTTTTTAATATTAATTTCTCAATAAGTTCCACGGTTTACTATATATATTTTATTGTATAAAACAAAATCTAAATATTTCAAAAACCTTATTTTTAGTTTTTTTCTACTCCATCTAATCAATAAATAATAGTATAATTCGAGAATTGTTGTTGAGGACTTACTTTCTCGTGAGGCACTGTACAAATACTCACATTTAAAAAAAAAATTCTCAAAAATTTGCAAGGTAAGGTATAGTTAAAAGTTCAGTATTAGATAAATAAGGACTTCAACTATTAGAAAAAAATTAATTTTAGTCATAATCTAATACCTTTTTTTTAACATTTGAGGCGAGAGGTGTGGCGAAAGGACCTCCTTAGTTAATGAGCTATTCCATTTGAGGTGACCAATATGTTGAGTATAATTTTGTATAGGGGATGAGACATTTTTAAACTTTGTTTTAAATTTTCTTATGTCATACTAGTTAATTATTGTGTTTTTATTACATAATAGAGTATTTTATGTTCGAGAATTGTTTGACAACTACGTGGCCTAACAAAAAAAAGTTTACACACTTATTCCAAATTAGCAATGCCTTCATCGTAAGTCGATGAATCCAAGTTCTCGAAATAGCTATTTACATCAGCGATTACCTGCAGCCGAAAATGACTTTTTTATAAGTGATACATAGTCCAAAAGTCATGATCTGATTTATAATTTGAAATAAATGCCAAAAGTAAGAAATAACAATATTCCACTAGAAGTAATAAACAAAAACCCTGAAAAACTCTGAAAACCCGTGAAAAAACTCTGAAAACCCGTGAAAAACCCTGGATCAATCGAACCCGCTTCAAAGGAATTAATAAAAAACGGAACCTATGGCATAGGTACAGGTCAACAAGAACTAAGGAAGATTATGCAGCATATGGAAATTAAATCAATAAACTTAAATTTTACTCCTATCTGAAAAGAATACTGAATACAAAAAGAACGCAGATCACGCTAAAAAACCCTACAACAAATTTACCAATCACAGAATCAGCCGAGATAGCAGAAAGATTTGCAGCTTATACAATATAACCTGATACAGAATCACCGCAAATAACTGCAATAGAAGAGTTGAGAATAGCATAGAAAATATATCATTTACCCCAGAACAAGTGAAATTTGGAATAGTCTTAAACAAGATAAAGTCCTGGAATAGATAAAATAACGCCAATTTTTCTTAAAATGGGCGTGACAGTTATGAACAACTCTATGCAAAAACAGGAACTGCCAATGGACTGAAAACTAAAAAATATGTTGCTACAAATCTTCTAGGAGCAGTTAATCAGTGGACAGCTTGAAATGACGACAACCAGCCAGATGATGTGATATATTTCGATTATGAAGAAGCTTTTTGATGCTGCCACTTTAGAAAATGCATTTTTCCGATAATTTTTTAGCTCAGAAAGTGCGTTGTTGCCGGTCTAGATCGGAAAAGTGACATAACTGCTCGGAAAAGTGATATAACTGTCAAAATTTAAATTAAAGACAAAATATCAACGTCTAAATAATTTTCGACGGTATGTTAAATATCACAGTTGCCATGACAATATCGTAGCCATCTGTCAGTAGATGTTTTTGACGTTTTGATGCACTTTGTGTATTATAACAAGTTTCTAAACCGTTTAAAGATGAGTAGCGATGAAAGTGACGAAGAAAACATTCCATTGGAAATTAAAAATGTGGCAGATGCCGCCACTAATGCATTATTACCAACAAAATCCAAGGAAAAGTATGAAAAAGCCTATGAATTTTTCGAAAAATGTAGCGAAGAGGAAAAGGTAAAGGTAGTAAATGAAGATGTTTTGTTAGTTTATTTAGCTATAAAATCAAACACACTTAAATCATAAACTGTATGGAGTTTGTATTCAATGCTCAAAACAATGTTAATAAGCAAAAAGGACATTGATATTAGTAAATTTCCGAAGTTATTAGCTTTTTTTAAAGAAAAAATCTAAAGCAAAGAAGTCTAAAGTTTTTAATAAACAAGAAGTAGATAAATTTTTGACAGAAGCCTGAAATCTTGAGCAGATATTATTATCTCTGATCTTGAGTATCTCGCTATTAAGGTATTTTCAATAATTTTTAGTGACTGCATTTAAAAGTTTGACATTTTAATTTTTTGTAGATTGGCTTGGCCGACGCATGTTGCCGAGATGAATTAGTAAAAATGACCGTAGATGACGTGCAAGATAAGAATGATATGCTAATAATAAACATTCCTAACATAAAAACAAACATACAGAGAACATTTCTCGTTGTCGACAAATTCCATTTAGAATTATATAGAACATATTTAGCCCTACGTCTAAATCACATTACACATCGAAGAATATTTATATTTTTTAAAAACAATAAATGTACTACCCAACCTATTGAAATGCATTCAATGGGAAACTTCCTTTGCAAAATAACTACATATCCAAAATTCGCTAACCCAACAGAATATACTGGCCATTGTTTTCGCAAGACTTCAGCTACATTACTGATTAATGGAGGTGGAAATTTAACAATATTATTGATAACACAAATATTATGATTCCTAAATTGACCGGAACATCAACGTTTAATAATTGTACTTTGCATAACTGCACATTCAACATAAATATTAATAATAAATGAGTTAAGTTTTGTTATAAATTTTGAGCAATAAATATTCTGTTGCTATATTATTGTCAAATTATTGGTGGCAGCACAAAAAATATTGTACGCGCCACACTCCAAAAGTGATACTTTACAGGGCGAGCATGCTAGTTTCAGTCATGACCTGATGAAGGCGGAGTTCTAAAAGCACATAAATAACTATTGATAAAGTTTCATATAGAAGGCTGCTTAACAAACTGGAAAAAATGAGGCCTAACTTTACAAAGTGTGATATTTCGATAATGTTCAAATCTTTTAGGCACTTGTGAGACATCACAAGACTGGAAATTTTTAGGTCTTTCTAAAAATTGAAAAATCCAATATGGCGGCCATAAGAAAAATTAAAGTTGAGGAGGATTGCAGGATAACAAAAGACTATTGAGCATGTCATATACGCTATCTTATTCGTCTTAAAAAAGTGTCCCAATAATGTCACATTTTCAGTGCTGTCAAATTATTCCTTTCGATTTAAAGGCGAAAAACGAAATTAACTTTAATGCACTAAGTATCCTCTAAAAATTTTTCCATTTAACCTAGAGAAGCGAATCTGGGACACACTATATTTTGTCTTGGAATTATTTTTACCAAAACTGTAGTTTGTTTTTTAATCGATTGTAAAATAATCATTTTTTCTTATATTTCAAAATGAAATAAATGTTTACATTTTGTAATTTTTAGTCCAATAAATTGTTTATTAACATTTTTATGAGTTAGTAATTTCACAATTAAATTAAACTTCAAACTTTACGACTTTAAGGCTGAATTTTTCTGTTTCTGTTTAAACCACAAAAATAGAATTTTACAGGAGATTTGAAAATGTTCACTAAATTAGGAAATAATCTACATTTATTAAATATTCATTAATTAATAATTGTATAGTTTCACAATTTAAAATGTGGCAGTAAAATTCATAGGTCTAAGGGGTAGTAAAGGAAAAACTCCAAAATAAAATTACATTAAGAAAAATATTTAAAGATGCTATATGCTAGGGTTTTGAATTAAGCAATATTGGCAAATTTATGTGTACCCTATTATCCCCCTTGTTGTATACGCGCCTGCTAAATTTGAAGTTTCCTGATAATTACTCATTGTTTACGATCAACTAAATTTGTAGAGCTTTAAATTGTTTTCTATTTTTAATTTTTATGTCTGTGCTGAAATGTTCAAAGAGCACGTCAAATGTCCTCTAATGATTTGCTGGACATTCAACTATTGTTTTATTTCATTTTATTCTCATGATTTGCCTCAAATAGTATTCTAATAAGTTACGTCATAATAATTATGCTTTTTTTATTCAAACAAATATAATTCAGTAATATAAATAGGTAGAATCTACAGGATATTTTATTGGGAAAGGGACACACACTAACTATAGATGGAAGCCGACGAGGGGCTTTTAAATAACACATACTTATTGAGTCTTTCACCTTTTATAACTGAAATAGAAGGTGCCAATTCATGAGTGACGAACCACCTTTTATATATGTTTTTGACATTGTGCTCACGTATTCTCCATGATTTACCGAATTTACTAAGGTATAAATAAGAAAGGAAATCCAGATCCATCTTTGAAAAACAAAATGAACAAATTCGCTCATTCTTAAAACAACACCCTGTATGTCTGAATTAGAATTTTTAAAGAACTTGAATACAATCCTACTGCGAAGAAATCAAAGATTTCCCGCAGGCAGCGAGGCTTCAAAAATTTCTCTCAAAAGATTCACACCGAAGCATTGGTGTGCTAATCAAAGAGGATGGCACGAAAACTGCCAACCTCGAAGATATCATCAAACTTATGCTGTCAACACAGACGTGGCCTACCGGGCAGAGGAAGAATACAATCCATCTGTCTATGATTGGCAAACTACCAAACACATTGTAGACGATGAAAAAATTATTAGGGCAATATCCAGCTTCTCTCCATTTAAATCGCCAGGACCTGACGGTATCTATCCAGCCCTACTTCAGTGGGGATTGAAAGAACTAACACCGCACCTGGTGGGTATATTCAGATCCTCGTTGGCTCTGAGGTATATCTCCAAATGGAGAGAGATAAAAGTGATATTTATAGCCAAACCTGGAAGGATGGATTACACTGTTCTAAAAACATACGGACCAATTAGTCTAACATCGTTTTCCATGAAGACATTGGAAAGGCTATGCGAAAGGTACATAAGGGATGTGGTGATTACAACAACACCACTACACCCAAACCAACATGCACACACCCCAGGCAGATATACTGATTCAGCCCTTCATCTAGTTGCTGGCCGGATAGAAAGATCCCTGGACAATAAGGAGTCCCGCCTTGGGTGTTTTCATAGACATAGAAGGCGCTTTTGATAAAACCACCTCCTCAAAGATAATACACTCACTAACCAACAGGAATGTTCCACAAATGATTAGTGGGTGGATACATAACATGCTCTCAAAGCGAGCAGTAAACATAAGTGTAGAAGATGTGAATATAAGAGGTTTGGTTGCGAGAGGATGTCCACAGGGAGGGGTGCTATCACCTCTACTGTGGAATATGGTCCTCGACACCCTCATCAGCCGCCTCAATAATGACAGTCACTACACAATAGCACATGCAGATGACTTGGTAATTCTGCAAACAGTGAATTTTAAAAACATACTCTGCAAAAGAATGCAAGTAGCTCTAAAAATTATCGAACAGTGGTGCAAGGACCATTCACTGTCTATCAATCCTAAGAAGACAGAAATGGTTCTTTTCACAAGGAAAATGATGAAAATGGAATTAAAACCTCCAGAACTCCTAAACACAAAAATAAACTTTGCAACAAAGGTGAAGTACCTAGGTCTCACCTTTGACAGCAAGTTAACATGGAACTCGCATTTAGAAAACAGAGTTAAAAGAGCATACATTGATTATAAACAATGCCGCCGAACCGTGGGGCGCACCTGGGGTTTCTCCTCCAGAGTCGTCTCATGCTAACATACGGTGCAGTTGTCTGGGTACCGAAAACCTAAAAATTAACAACTATCTCTAGAACAAATTCAAAGAACAGCATGTCTCAACATAACAGGATTCCATCTCATCGAGATATATCTTTCATAAGCTATATAAAGTTATAATAGAACAAATAGAAGAGCTGGAAGTGGCAGGTATGAATCATATCTACACCGATGGTTCTAAAACAAAACAAGGCTCAGGATGTGGAATATACTCCAGATTCTTAAACCTAAACACAAAATAGGCTGTGAGCAATAGTGCCAGTGTAGTTCAAACAGAGCTAACGGGGATTCTCATAGCAGCAAAAGAAATAACCAGAAACAATATCACTGGAAGGAACATGCTCATCCATACAGATAGCAGACAAGCACTACTCACCCTGAACATACTACGAATTTACTCAGGGTTAGTACTAGAATGTCACGAAGTTTTGGCCGACGCATCCATCAACAATGTGGTTACCTCAAGATGGATCAAAGGTCACACCACTTGCTGATACACTTGCCAAGAAAGCAGCTAACCAAATACTTTTTGGACCTTGCCAAACTTAATTAAAGAACATTCCCTTGTGAAATTCAAGGAAAGATGGGATGAAACAAGAAGCTGCAGACTTGCTAGGGAGCTCTTAAGTTATTTTGACAACACTGCAGCAAACAAATACTTGACTATGACTAGACAGAATCTGCGCCTAGTCATAGGAATTCTGAATGGTCATTGCCAAGTACGAAAGCATCTCCATATCATGAGGCTGTCAGAATCCGCACTCTGCAGAGGGTGCGAACAAGAAGATGACACCATCGAGCATATCCTTTACGATTGCTCGACGCTCTCATTTATTAGAAGATTTGTGTTCGGCGAGTATCGGCTAACACCGGTCGATATAAGAGAAGCACCTCTTGGCGACGTTGTCAACTACATTAAATCTGTAGGCTGGCTCACGAGCTAAGAGGTGCCTATCATCTCAGGAGGATTCACAATGGGCCTAATAAGGCCTAAGTGCCGTGGGGAGTAACCCACCCTCCACACGTTATAGATACAGAGAGATACTAAAACTTTGAAGTCCACATTGTTATTTTTAAACATTTTCTGGATACGAAATGAAAACAGACAAAATTGATTTCGGTTATTTATGGGTTATTATGAAGTACCTAGGTACCTTCTGTATAAAAAAGAACAAGAAAAAAAAAGATAAATTCATTCAAATTAAACATTTTTAAAAAATACAAAGTTATGAACGTTTTGGTATATCAGGTTTTCAAAGATTTGGTTAAATAAAGTTTATTCCCACAAGCGTTGAGTGATCAGATTTTTTCTGCAGTTCCCCATTATATATTAAAATAATTACTTCAAAGGTATTATAATTATTATGATACACTTACTCTAAAAAGCCTGTTTTATGTTTTGTATCAACATGGTCTCCAAATTGTATTTGACACTGAAGCCCCGCAAATTCGCATGCTTTTTCTTGTGTAATAGGATGCGTTCCTTGTAAAATACCATCTCTGGCTTGTACGTACAATAAATTCAATTGTACTGGATCTCTAGAATCGATATTTTGATCCGAATAGAAGAATTTTCGTCTCAACAAAACAGTTTGGGATTCATCAATTCCCTGTTCTCTTAACGTTTTCGAAGGATCTAGCCAATTGACTTCGTCGTCTGTATGGAGTTTTTTACGTAATTGTTCCATTTTCGCGTCACGTTCGCGTTCTTCTTTCTTTCGTTTTAATGTCAAAGTTCCATAGTTGTTGCGATTGTCTATGTTTTCTTGATTTTCAATGTCTTCGAGTACAATTGAATATTCGTCATGATTCGTTATGCCTAATTTCGTGCAAATGACAACCATTAGGTTCGCTATTATTTGGGAGTCGTCTACCATCATAGTTTTTACGGCGCCTAAAATTAGTAAAAAACTGAGTCTGCAAATAAAGAACTGTTACTGTAGATATACAAACTCGTGTCGTAATAAAATTTATTGTTTCAAAAATCTATTAAAGATGATAAAATTACAGTATTAATATTAGTGGAAATATTGTATCGGTGAAGTGTAAAATAGTTTTTTATATTTAGATTTTTAATATTTATTAATTTTTATTTATATAATAATTATACAACCGGCAGGGCAAGGCCCAATTACATGTGTGCGTAACAAAAAAAAAGAACAAAATATAAATGTACCATGTCAAAAAAATAATTTACAACAATGAAACATTAAGAAGAGAAATAAAAAGTAAAATGGAGGAAGATCGTTACACTACAAGATACATTTAATAACAAATAGTTTGCTATTATATCTACTAGAGTTTATTTTAAAATGAATAATGAAATTTGTATTACCCAGGAGATAAACACCAATATAACATCATAAATCAGTGACGAATATTTTCTAACTAAAATAAAATGTTTAGCATTATTTGTTCCAAAATAAAATCTTTGCTTTTCTTCCTAAAATTTTTAAAAATACCAATTTGTTTCAATTTTTGTCTTAAAATTTCTAGTCATTATAATCAACAAAAATAAGTATGTAATCTCTACAGGTAGAAAATATTTACAATTCAAGATCAATTTAAATAGCCCTCAACTTTCTTAGAAAGGATTCAAATTTTTAATGGGCAGAAAGTGTTATGCAGATTGTAAATTATTTTAGTTTAGATTTACTTTTTTGTTTGTATAGTCCCTGTGATTGTAACACACAGAATTGTTAGTTATATAAAAAGCGAAATTGATCAAGTGAATTTGGCAATAAAAATGGCACAAACGTCTAATTATACTCCTGTGAAATTAAAGTGTAATTTAACCGTTCATATGAAAACTTTAATGTTAGTGTTAAATGTACATGGCGCTCTTGTACATGAACATTTCAATAGTACTGTTCGGAGTATAGTTTCTAAGTGTTCAAATATGACCTGAGTTGGAGAAGCAACCATTTATAGACTTTTGAAGCAACGAAAGGATGGAAGTATTAGAGTACCGCCTAAAGCGTCAACTGGGAGAAAACCCATTCAATAGATGGTACTATGAAAAGTGCATTTGTTATATTTACAAAAAAAGATACCTACTTTCGATAAACTTTTAGTAGACATTAATGGAGATGAAAGTTAGCCAAACGTTAAAATGAGACAAATTGTGGAAAACTTGACATGAATCAGACTTCGTTTGGGAGAAGAACGATGGAAAATTTGCGCTCATAGAGAAATATGAAATTATTTGTTGAAGGAGGCAATATTTAAGGAAAATTAAAAAATTAAGAAGATAAGATAAAAATATTTTTTATTTGGATGAAACATGGATAAATGAAGGACATTTTCTAAAAAAAGTTTGTCAAGATAAACAGGTTACAAATACTCGTCAGGCAATTATAGAAGGTTTCCCTACTGGCTGAAAATTTCCAAATGGTAAAGGTCGCCGTTTAATTATTACTCATATTGGAGGAGATAAAGGATTTGTTGATAGAGGCTTGTTAGAATTTGTTTCAAATTCTACGAAAGACTACCATGAAGAAATGGCTGCTGATATTTTTGAGGAATATTTCAGTCAAATGATAGATTTATTACCGACCAATTCTGTAATAGTTATGGTCAATGCCAGTTACCATTCAAGATTAAAGGAACACTAAATGGAAACAGCAAGAACTCTCCGATTGGCTAATAACCAAAGAAATAGTGGCAGAAGAGAGATTACTAAAAAAGAAGCTATTGCAGTTCTGTATCTGTAACGTGTGGAGGGTGGGTTACCCCCACGGCACTTAGGCCTCATTAGGCCCATTATGCATCCTCCTGAGATGATAGGCACCTCCTAGCTCGTGAGCCAGCCTACAGATTTAATGTAGTTGACAACGTCGCCAAGAGGTGCTTCTCTTATATCGCCCTGTGTTAGCCGATACTCGCCAAACACAAATCTTCTAATAAATGAGAGCGTCGAGCAATCGTAAAGGATATGCTCGATGGTCTTATCTTCTTGTTCGCACCCTATGCAGAGTGCGATGACTTAAGAGCTCCCTGGCAACTCTGCAGTTTCTTGTTTCATCCCATCTGCCCTTGAATTTCACAAGGGAATGTTCTTTGATTAGGTCTGTCACCACCAATTTTGTCAGGCCAATAGAAGGGCCAGGTCCAAAAAGTATTTGGTTGGCTGCTTTCTTGGCTAGTAAATCAGCAAGACGGTTACCTTTCGATGTGGCGTGACCTTTGATCCATCTTAAGGTGACCACATTGTTGATGGATACTTCGGCCAAAGCTTCGTGACATTCTAGTACTAACCCTGAGTAAATTCGTGGTCTGTTCAGGGTGAGTAGTGCTTGTCTACTATCTGTATAGATGAGCATGTTCCTTCCAAGCTTTTGCAGTAAAGTGTTGCGGTTACCACCTTATCACTGTGAACTTAACCCCAATCAACTAAACTGGGCTCAAATGAAAGGATATGTCGCGAGAAACAATACAACATTTAAACTTCAAGATGTTCGTCAACTATTGTGACTCCATATCAAAAATTTCACCGGACAATTGGCGAAAAGCTATAAGACATGTCATATCAGGGGAAGAGAAATTCTGAAAACTTGATATGTTAATAGAGGAAACAATAGAACGAATTATTATTTCTGTGGGAAGTGAGGAAACTGATGATGATGATGACTTCTTATAGGGAGAAAACGACTTATTTATTTAGGTATATAACTCAACCTAATATCTAGTATACTAATTTTATAAAAATAAATGTGGGTACTTAATATTGACAGTTTACTATTTTTTATATTAAAGTAATTTCGTGTCCTGGTCACTCAGGTATAGAATTATTGGTTAATCCCTTAGGGTTTGCTTATTTACATTTTATGATGTATTGTATTCGAGATTTTTCGGGGTAGTCATACTAAAATCTAGTGAAAATTCAGACAAGAAGGCATCAATATTTTTTTTTCTGCTTTGAACAATTCTGTATGTAGACCTTTGCCATAAAAACTGTGCTATCATGAATTTTCAAATAAACTATAGTTGGAAATAAAATTGAAGATTTTTCGCTTACATAGTGAGTAAGATAGAAAAAAACAAATCCACAGAGGTTACTTGATTGTAAGTTCTGCATCGAGTTGACACTGGAGAATAAAAATGATGTTGGGTATTTGGAGGTTATATTCGAAACATAATATAATTAATTTTGATATGTGATGTACAATTATTATAGAGATTAGGTGGTTAAAAAATTGTAAATATTTATTGTATTAGCTAGATTTGCATTTTTTTTTGTTAACTATATTTGAATTATTTAGTTTCGTATCAAAAAACAAACGCATTTGAGACGGGTTTATAGAAGTCAACGAGCTACGAAATAATGCATTTCTCACTTTAATTTGCACCGTACTTTATATACAAAAAAAAAAATCTTACCATCCAACATTTTAACCCTCAAAGTTCTTAATTTTTTTCTGTATTCGATTGTATCTCCATTTCTCAAAATATAATATTCTAAATTTCTGGCTGGTTCTAGCCACACCCCTGTCTTGTTATCTTCATCAGTAAGGAACAGACCATAGTCTTTAGCTGCAAAGAAATTAAGAAATGTTTACATAATAAATAAAGACGATTGGATTATGTAAGTGCAATAATTTTAAGATTTCTAGTTATTTTTCAAGAAACAATAACTTTATATGAAGCGAGGTCAAAGGTAAGGGAATAAATTCGATAAAAAAAAAACAAGAAAATCAAAAACAGATCCATTTTGCATTTTTTTACACATTTGAATAAACAGGCTGATGCGTGACGTCACCGGATTTTTCTACAGTGCTTGAATTTTAATTATTTAAATGCATCACCCTATATATCAAAAAGTGCGGAATTTAAAGACAAAGTCCACCTGTTTTTGGAATATTTCCAAAAATCAATAACGAATCTATTCCTTACCTTTGACTTTTGACCGCTGAAATCCATCATATTGAATTTGTTTATTATTATTTAGTTTACACAAATTTAAAGATCATAGTTTTTTCCATAAAAAAAAATTCCTACCCACCTACCAAATTTGAACGAATTTTGAGAGCTTCGATTCTTTTCGCGTTTTTATAGCCTAAAAATTTTTTAACTTACGAATTTCTAAAATCCGAAAAGACCCACCCGTTAATGTATAATACTGTTTTTTTTTACTTTCCTGTCTGTATACATATAAGCAAAGAACAGGGTCTTTCATTATATTTTGACCGCTATTTATTTTCATTATTATTGCGAACACAAACAAAAGTTTTGAGTAAAATCTTTGTTGTTTTACCTGTACCGGCTAAAAATGCAATAACTGGCAGAACTGTATATACAGGGCGCCTCCAACAAAATATAATTTCATTTTTTTTTTTTCATTTTAAGTATACTTGCATTTCCTAATTACAAATATATATTTTAATTATTTAGTGACTTATTGCACTATGAAAGTGTAACACATAGATGGCTATGAAAATGATGTTTCCAAGTGAAACAGTTGTTATTAAAAGTTGTCAATTGATTGCTTGTAATGGGTTATACTGTGGCCAAAAAAGTTGAGGTAAAACAACAAAGATTTTAATTGAAACTTATTTTTGTGTTCACAAGAATAATGAAAATAAGTAGTGGTCAAAATATAACGTAAAATCCTGTACATTAATCATGATTTTTTTCGACTTCGAGTTTGTGACGGATTTTTACGTTTTGAGATCCCTGAATCCATTTGGACAATTTTCGCGATGATGTATGTGTGTCGGTATGCTAGATAAATCATGAACGGATACAGAGAAAAATACTACACTCTAAACTTAAGGGGGTACTTTATAGGGGTATTTTTCTATGTTTTTATGGAATATATCTGTTATTTACGCTTCAAATAAAAGTTGCTTGTAATATTATTCTCTATAATTGTTGTTCTATACAAAATTTTCCTTAAATGGTCCGTATCCGCGAAATTTGATAAAAAGTAAAAAATTCAAATTTTTAAGAAAATTTTTAAAATAAAAGTTGTTTGTATGTCTTTCTCTATAATTTTGCCCATTATTTCTTTAAATTTCGCGATATTTAGATATTTAGCTTTAATCCATCCTGCGGTGAATTAATTAAATTTTGGGCATAGTCAGAACATCTGGGCGGTACTTTACAGAGCTGGAAAGGATTCGAATTACATAGGATTCGAATCCTTTTATAGGATACGAGATTGGTATTCGAATACTTAAGAAAAAAAAAAGAATATTAGTCTCGGATCCTTTTAAAGTAAAGTGACCATCCGTCCCGATTTAGGCCAGACAGTCCCGATTTTAAAGCACTAGTACCGCTTTAACATGTGCCCCGATTTTGTCCCTACTTTGCTACACTTTTGCCCGACGAAAAAAACACTCCATTAAAGATTTCCTTTTTTTTTACTCTTTTACTCTTCAATGGACTACAAATAAAATTTGTCGAAAAATATTTTCGATTTGTCCCGCTTTCCAGTTTAAAAAATAATCTAAAAATTATCAATTCATATTCAACATAAAAAAAATTAACACCTGTCTTCCTTCAGTGTGGCCAGACAGATGAAAACTTTGAAATTTTAGTGCTATGTAAGGCCCAACCAAAAGACAGACTATGAGTTTCTTTTTAATTTTATTTCATTATTTGTTTATTATTTTGTGTATTAAAATAAAATATATTTTTTGTAGATTATAATTTATTTATGGTTCATATTCACAGGGGGTTAGAGTCAGGAGTTTCGGATCCCTGCATCTCAGGTTTGAATTTGGTAATAATGCATTCTTTTTTCCTTTTAAGTTCATTTTTGATTAAGTTAACATAATATTATGTAGTGTATTAAATTACTAATAAAATTAGCTTTCAAATGAAGTATCACACTTTACCATAGGTAATAATTTTAATCCTGCTAGAAGGCGTTAAAATTAAAAGGAGCGCAATGACAAGTCATATTGCTGAATTCCCCATAAAATTACCTTTCCGACGATTTGTCATACTTGGTATTTTCCCTATTTAAATTGTATTGGTTAGATTGACGTAGGGGAGAGAGAAATGACATATGACAGCTAAGGATATTATAGAAAGGATCTCCCTTGAAACAAAAATCGACCTGTTTTTAATATTAAAAAAAAAAATCTACGTCAAGATATTCTGAGATACGGCCGGTCCCCACCCTTAATGAGTCACCCTGTATAAAGCTTCCGAATGTTTTTATGCTACTTTATCGCAAACTTTTTCGTAATATCCTTTTTGTAAATATTAGTACAATTTACACATCAGATTAACGTACTTACATTGTAAATACTTATTTTGAAAAAGGGTCTTAGTGGATTTCGTGATTACTTGACGAAATTCGGTTATTTTTGTAGGGAGCAAAGCGCTTACGAAAACAATCTCCAAACAGTTTAAAAGTTAAAAAAGAAATAGTACGACTGATCCGCGAGATTACATTAGAAATGTGCGCAGATTTCAATAAAAAAGTTGTGTTCTTTCAAAGGAGTCATTTTAACGCATAATTTTAACACGTTCGCGGACAAAGCGGCATATGCCGCTTTGCCTACTGGGACAAAGCGTGGTATCCCGTCTAGGCTTGCTGCTCGCTGAAACACAAGTCGGCCTTCGTCGCGCATTTCTGTACACAAAATCCCATTCAGACATCTTAACTGTCCCAGCAAAAAATATAAAACATTGTGAACTGTCCCTGTATTTCATTTTAGTTTGAAAAATCATATGGTGAGCATTTGCTTGTTGTTTGTGTCGGAAAAAAGTTTTTTTTCTTGATTTTGATTGGTTTTATAATCGTTTCTGCTAGACATAATAAAGGTAAGTAATTTGTCGCCATTTTACACAATTTTTTAGTAATTCTGGGCTGCTTATAATCTTATAAAAGGTTTTGTAAATATATACCTATACAATTTTGAGGTTATGTGTTTACCGTACCTATTTTCGTTTTTTTGTTTAAAAAAAAAAAAAATGGATGAAAAAGAAGAAAAAAGGCTTCTAAAACTTTGGGCTGAGCTGAGCTCGGATGAGTTAGCAAGTTCTGAAACAGAACCGTATAGCTCTGATGATGACATAAGGGATCCAACCTACCAAACTAGCAGTAGTGAAGATTCATCGGAAAATGAGAACCGGTCAAGAACAGCTACTACATCAACAAGAAACTGCTAGGACACATTTGTTGTCAGAAAAGGTAGCAGATACACAAAGCTTATCAGAAGTGGAACAAGATATGCAAGAATCAGGTAATTAGGTACAAAATTTGTCGGATGTGAGCGAGTGGTGTGGATACTATTAAAGATATTCCAGACTTTGCTTTTGACGGTTTTTTTAATAGTCTAAATCGTATTTTTGACAAAGACCATCCTACAGCTAAAGATTATTTTTCAAAATTTTGGGACCAAAAAATAATGGAATTAATTCTAGATTCCATGAACAATTATGCTCAATTTTTGACTAAGACAAATTTGCCCAAGCAAAAATACAGTAGGCATGCATCTATTTAGAATGGAGGAACTTCATTTTTTTTAGCCATATGCATTTTACAGGGTCATATCAAGTACCCTTTTATAAGACAACTTTTTTCAATGAATCCACTTTACTATGCCCCAGTTTTTATTATACCTTATCTGGTAGAAGATTTGAAGAAATACTTATGCCCTTTTTGAAAGGAAAACTCTTCCTACTGGTATTCTCAGAAAAACAGAAAAGGAAATTCGAAAGCAATTGTAAATTACAAACTAAAAAAAGGCGAACATAAGTGGCAACAAAAGGGAATAATTTATATTTCAAAGTGGAAGGATAAAAGAGAAGTTCTTTGTATCACCATCCAAAACTGACAAACGTACCAAATAGATTTGGGAAAACAATAACAAAACCTGAAGAAGTTGCAAGGTACAACGACTTTATGTCCGGAATAGACCGCTGCGATCAGATGGTGAGTTACTACTCTTCGCCCAGGAAATCAATAAGATGGTACAAAAAAGTAATGTTTCACCTGCTGGATGTAGCTATATGGAATACCAACTATGCAATGAAGAAGCACACACAAAATACGAAGGTGAGTTTTTTGGAGTAGAGAAGACTTGGTAACAGAATTACTAAATATTCCCAAAAAAATGGTTCATAGTGGAGCTTTGCAAGGCAGAAAATGACCTAGAATGGAAAACAATACAACAGTTCTGAACCCTAATAGTGTACAACATTTTCCAGATCATATACCAAACATGAAAGACCCTAGCAAGAGACAAAACCAAATACGCAAAACGTGTTCTGATAAACCAGCGCTCTGTATTGTTCCCTGTTTTGAACTATATCACAAAAGCTAAGTCTATCGTTGCAAGAGTTTCTTTGTTTGGTGTTACTTAAAAATAAAGAATTATTTGACCTTACTCATAGAGAGTGGCATTTACTGCCTTGTTTATTTGAATGATGTGTATTTACCGCTCATTGTTTTTTCCGAAAATAAAAATCTCATGGTCATCCAAAATTTAATTCCATAACTTTTTTTCAGCAAAATATAATCGTATTTTAGAACATTTACAAGTGTGATTTTACAACCCCCTTTAGGGGTCCGCGAACGTGTTAAAAAGATTTTAATCTTTGACGCAAAACACAAATAAAATGTGTTTCCTCTGTTAAATACAATCAGGGATTTTTTAAAGAAAAATGATTTTTTTCGTATAACCGTTAATAAAAAAATATCGTTGCTTGAAAATATAAAAAGTAGCTTAAAAAGAATAATTTTTTTTAAATAAATTACTATATACGAAAGAATCCACAAAAAAAATGTTTATAAAGTATCCCGTTCGTCTTAAGTACGCACGGCTCTGAATTAAACCCAAACTAAAACGAACAATTTTTTTCCTCCAACAAGCTTTAATTTTTCCCAAGGTTTAAATTATCAACATTTTTGTTGTGGATTACTCCATGTTAAAATAATGTTTTTCTTACGTTGACCATCTCCATCTGTACACTTGTCTCTGATGATTCGACAGGCATCGTGTACCGTTGTAATAGGGTCAAAAACGATGGTTTTTGTAACATTTTCGTCAATAATATTGATTTTGAGTGACAGGGCCATATTTTTATCGGAAGTACTGATCTGAAACAAAAAAAAATATTAGGTATATTTTACTTTTTTTAATTCGATATTAACACACTAATGAATTATTTACGAAATGAAGCTGGGTTCGCAACCTTTCTCAAATAATGGAAATATTGTTTTAAAATTAGATAAAAGTTTTTTACTATGGCGTAATCAATTAATTTTTTAAATTACATTATTCGAAAATCTAAGGTTTTTAAAACGTTTTTTTACAATTTTAAAACGCATTGCATATCAGCACTTGCATAACTTTCCTAACTATACAGCGTGGAACAGCCAAATGGAATAAATTTAGTATTTCAATATTATTGGGAATATTTATAAAAAAAATCGCGAAATTCGTCAATTTTAGATTATAAATGGACATCCATCAACGTGAAAATTTCACCCCTACATTATTGAATATCCTTCGAGTGATAGATATATTCATTCTCTACTCAAAAATGCTGTGACGTTTCATTTTTTTGCAAAAATTAACAGTAAAAATATAATTCATCTTTAATAAAGTTCTTGATAACGAGAAAGCAAGCAATAGTAGTTTGTACAACAAGAGTGGATATGATGGCCATATCGCACAAAGACCAAATTTGACGACGACGTCGTGGGCGGAATGCTCAATCGGTTGAGTGCGATATGGACAATTCAGTTGTATAGTATATTTTTTTTACGACACACTATCGAAAATTTACAAATATTAAAAATTATTAAGATAAAATAACTAATTTAAAAATAATTGTCCTTTTACTAATTTATAAAATAAAATAAAAAATAAAAATATTTACTTTAATTTGGCCCCATCCTAGATTTGAACCTGGGCCTTCACGGTTGGGCCGCTTAAAATTTTCTTTAATACTCGTAATTAAATTGACTTCATATACTTTTAGTAAAATTAACGAATTATTGATAATAAGCGAAATAAAAATAGAAATGCTATTATTTATCGATTCTACACAAGAATAACTTTTAATGTATATTTAATCTCAATAACTAAAAAATATACTGACAATTAGTTTGACAGAATAGCCCTTATTTAAAAAAATAATAGTAGCCGGGAGACCAAAATAGGAACCTTAATTGGTGGATTTAATTTTTTTGCAGTGTTCTTACTAGGTAGAATGGATATGAAATATATTCGTTCAGTTGAACGCAACGGACTACTTTTTCGTTTTGTAGTCTGTGCGTAATAGCTAATATCAATCATATGGGTATAGAAAAAATAATATTAACTTGAAATCTTCAAGTTCTATAAAGGGACGAAGCCTAATGATTCTGAAAAAAAAAATCTGCTTAAAAATGGGGGATTAAGGGGTTCTGTTGAACTTTGAAGAGTATAATATAGAATGCCAAGCATTGTAGTTATTATTATTTTTACTTTATATAATTATTATGTACGTAGATATAATTAGATTAAATAAAACGAAAATCGAGAGTCTTAACATCGAAAAATGAAAAACAGTCAAACATTCATATAATTATCATTATTTGTTAAGTACTAACTTTTAAGAATATACCAAATTTACTCAAAAAATTATAAAATATACCACTACTATAATTATTAATCAAAATAATTTTTAAATTATAAACTAATCAAAATTAGATCAACGTCTCACCTTATTCTTAGCACAAAAGATTTACAGAATATTTCCATTAAACACATTCTCAAATCGTTGAAACTCGGAAGATCTTTCACTGAATTGCAAAATAATGAAGTTATTGACAAAGTTCTCAATCACTGAAAATTAGACAACAAATCGATGTGAACTGGTCGACAAAATACCGTAAAAATCTTTTGTATCGCGCCACCTTTCTAGGTTATGTTCTATAGCAACGAAAAGAAAACCACCCCCCCGATAACAGAAAGTCGAAAATAACGGCAATTGTTTCACCGATGCCCACTCATTTATCGACGAGTGCAAAAGACTAGTTAAGAAATAAGTCAATAAACCACTAAGAAGGGAACATGTCGCATCTGATAATTGAATCATACGCGAAACTGAAGGCTGAGGGGTAAATCCATCGGGCAGGGGGTGGCTGTGGGCGAGAAACAGAGGAGGGATGCTGCGTTGCTACGGCAACGCGAACTGCTAAATAATACTTGCTTGGTGCTTCGGCGACCCGTCACTGCGACGTCGACTACAGTGGCGCCACTTAAGAATAGGATAACTACAGTGTGTATTTGAAAAATACAAGAATACACATTTTCCTCAGATGATAGCCTACAGAATATTTAACACACGTTCTTGTATTTGGAGATCAATATTTCAAATTGGACACGCTTCAATTATTTTTATATTTAACCCATTTTAAGATTGTTTTAAAATTATCAATACGAAGATTGAATAATAGTTAAGTGGCCTAACGAAGCATAGACAAAAAAAAATATTCATCCATCCATCCATCTCATGGACTTAATTATCCCATTAGTTAATGGGTCTTTTAATATTCATTATGAAATAAGCCCTAAAACGAATAGAGCAAAGTGCACTGTTTAACGGACCGCTCCCAAACTGACAATGGAGTAAGAGCGGGAGTATTCAGTTAAAAGCCAAGAATTGATTTGATATATCTCTTTTCTATAAAACTAAGAGCAAGCAAGTTTAATAACCTTTCTATTGCAAAAAAACCTTTACTGACATCCAGGCAGCTCTTAAAAAGCATTGAGTTCCAACCGAGTTGACTCAAAGTTGGTTTGCATTTATCTTCGGGACAAAGTTATGTGCTGAATAAAATAGGAACTGAATATGAGCTCATAGTATTATGGGTGATATTCTACGCGAATTTTAGTATTCGTGACTCGAGAATACCTATTAACCATAACCACTTCTTGGCATTGCAAAGAGCACTGCCAAATGAATCATCTCAAACTAGACAAAGGGTAAAACGCTCGTATAGAGGATATATTATATTCTAGGACTAATCCATTCAATGAACATCTCTGCTCAGATACTGAAATTAAGTAAGAACGACATATGCATTTTTACAGGGTTCATGACAGGGCAGTGCCGCCTAGGTAACCACATGAGAAGAATAAATATGCCGGACTGTTGTTTAGGCAGCGTGGAAGAAAAATCTGCTAATTTGATTTGGAATTAGGTCTCAAACATTACGATTTACCAAATTGGAGTCTACCGACTTTAAATAAGTTTTACTCAACTCCATCATGATCTTAATAATTAAAGGTTCTTGTTCACAGTTGTTCATCTTATTTGTTTCATTTTTTAAAATACTCTAATCAAATAGTATATCCCAGGATTCGAATCCTATATGAGTCGAATCCTCCCCAGCTCTGTTATATAGCAAAAATTTTTATTCTCCATGATTGTGCGGAAATCTATATATAAATAAACAAAGACAAAATAACTCCATTTTCTCTTCTGTTTGTGAACCGATTTTAATTTTTTTTTGTTTGTTTAGTAGCTATTGACGAGCGTTAGTGTTTTCTTAAACCTTTAATAAATGAAATCCATTGATCAGCAATTATGAATTATGATTGACTATAGCCTATAGCGACATGGAAAATATTACATGGAAGGATAACGGTTCGCGAAAAACAAAAAAAATTACTTCTCCCCTCTGCTTCAACTTCCCCCTTCTTTCTTTGTCACGCTTAAATGGTAAGGGATAGAAAAAACCAAAAGCGGGGCCTCGCCTTAAACTATTTCAAACTGCCCAACTTCCTCCACCCCTACTTCACCCCCACCCTAGGGGAGGTCAATATATAAAACCCCTAAATTTAGGAAAATGAACTTCGGGTACAACGAAATTGAACTTTGATGTAGGTGGGGGTGAAATATTTTTTTCATAATTTGAGTATTTTAAGATACATATATTGATTGTATTGACAATTAAAAAATTAAAAAAAATTGAAGAGTAGGTCGACCTCCTTCCCACACTCCTTTTTTTTATGATACCTTTTCTATGCTGTTAATAATTATTTTCGATATGGTTCATGACATTTCTAGTAAATAGGTAATCTGTCACTAAACCTAAAAATATCTCCTTGTGTTTCATCACTCATAGAAAATATGTGCCTTTCAAAAATCGAAAAATTCTTTTTACAGCTGTCCAGTGAGATTTACCTGGATTATTATTGAAGCAGCTCACGGAATTCACTGCAAAACTTATGTCAGGTCTTAAAACTTGGGATGCATACAATATACTGCCCACAGCTTCTTGATACGGGACCCCAGACATTTTCTTTTTCTCTTCATCATTGTTTGGACACACACTTTTAGTAAGAAGATCTTTATTAGACATCGGAGTACTGACTAGCTTATAATCTTCCATATTAAAACGTTTTAGCATTTCTTTAATATACATTTCTTAATCCAGCCAAAGTTTTTTTGGCGTGCTGTCTCTTCTTATTCGCGTACCTAGAAATTTTGCAGTACCGATGTCTTTCATCTTGAAATTCCTCATTAGATGATGTTTCAAGCGAGCTTTATACTTAGCTACTTTTCCATCTGCGTGTTTCTTGAATTTAAAAACCGATTTGCAGTAGAGATCGACCAAATCCCAGGTTCTATTTTCTAATAGAGAATCGTATTCGTATTATTGACGGTCACTACGGCTTAAGGCTTCTTTTACAATTAATGGATTACCAGAATCGGAAGTAGTTGCAGAAAAACTTAAGGAGTCTAAGAAACCATTTTGAGCTTTCAGCCTCTCGAAACGTCTAAGTGAACTTGTTGAACTTCTTCAGAGTGAATAATAGAAGGTGAGGAGGATTCTGCTTAAACTTTACTTATTTAATCTGTCTCTATTTCACTATTTTTGGAGTTTTCATAATGTGGAATAAAGTTTTCGTATTTTCCGAATCGTTATCGGCATTATCATTTCCCCCTTTCTTCTTTGGAGAACACGACATCTCGGGACAAAAAAACGGTATCTCTTTCTGGATCATAAAGACTGTACGCTTTTGAATATTCATTCTATATCCTACCATGATGCACTTAATCGAAGTAGAATCGACCTTTTTTTCGTTTCTGTTTTGGCAC